CTTTAATATGATGTATCTTCCTGGCTCATGCTGCCCTGACTTGAAGCTGCATGTACTGGATTTTGGAGTGTGCATCAGATATGTTGAGAGGATGTATGAAATCCAAAACCTTATTTGACACTTTTCTTAGCATAAATTGCTAAGTTAATTGAGCAAACATTTTAATGAACCCTGCTCTTACATGATTGAGCATTAAATTTTCATTTAATATTTAAGCAGGGTTGTATTTTTAGTTTTGTGCGGAGAAGAACTCTTCTCTAATGCTGAGCAACTTAAAAAAATGTATATTCCTATAAGGACATAATGTGTGGTACCTTACTGCAGAAATAGCACAAGTGCACTGGCATTTGTCAGTCTCTCGTGTTAGTGATTGTATGTTAAAACTCTGATTAAAAATGAGGCTTTTTTTCTTTAATAAAAGCCACCTTCCTTTCTAGTATCCCGTATTTATCGAAACCCTAATTAACTCCTGTAATTAGGCAAAAGGGAATTCTTTAAGACTACTTCTGTTTGAGTACTTTCAAATAAAGGCCATTGTTTACTGCCCATTCTTTCCTGTTTTCTAGCACACATTGTACAGCTAGCTTCTTTCTTCCTCATATCTAATGTAGGTATATGTAAAAACATCTAAACAAGCCACCACATAATATAAATCCTTTCCCCTACACAAGCCATACAAATGTGGTGTGTAAGAGATTTTCTTCGCATTTGTGACCCTAAGAACTCCTCAGTGCCAACTGGCAAAAAGTTCACTGTTCTGTAACAGTAGCTCCTGGCAGGTGACAAACTCACAACACCCAATACATTTCTTTCATAGTATTTATCCAAAGAGGGTCAAGTGTGAGCTCTAATAAAAGCTTATGTCATACTGATCCTCATGATCATTGTGAGATGCATGTACGGATAACATTTAAGGAGCTGTGTGATTGATATATATAGGAAAGTATGTTTTAAAGTCTGAATCAAAGCAGAGTTGACAAGGAGGTTTTGACCAGATAAAGGATGTATATTCACCTGTCTGCCTTGGTTCACATGTAAAATAAGCATTGTAAGCCTATTTGCATATGATGTCAGCATGAAGATATGAAGTCAGCAGCTATGTTCCCTGTAAGCTGCGCGGCTGTGCAGCAGCCTATTTAGCACTGCGCAGACACTCAGGGAACCTGCCTGGCTGGGAACTACCGGGGAAGGGGCGGCCCAAACCCAGCCATGGCCTGGACCTGCCGCAGCCAGGGCGCCCCTCCCTCAGCCTGAATCCAGCCCTGACCTGGACCTGCCACAGCCAGGGGAAGATGCGCCTCTCCCAGGGCCCCAACCCTGGAGCTGCTGCTGTGGGAGAGGCACCCCTTCTCCCCTTCCCCTCTCCCTGCACGCCCCCCCAAGCCCAGGTGCTGCTGCAGAGAGAGAGAGCTGGGGGGAAGTCCTCTCTCCCCATATCAGCCCTGGGGCAGCCTGCTCCCCAAACCCCTCATCCCTGGCCCCACCCCCAGAGCCTGCACCCCAGCCCTGAGCCCCTCATTCCCAGCCCCACCCCGGAGCCTGAACCCCTCGGCCTCATTCCCACCACATGAATTTTGTTATGTGCACTAATATAAAGGTGATGTGTCACATCACCTCTACATTGGTGCACATAACTAAATTAATTACGCCTCTGTGTGTGGGAAAAGTAGAGGGAACGCTGGTCATCACATTGTGGAATAAACTGGGGCAGGGGGTCTCCTTGACCCTAGGGACAAAACAACTAACTCTGGGGATACAATGTGGCAAAAGAACACCTCTCTATGCTTCACTGAGGAAGCAAAAAGAATTTCATGAATGCAGTAAGAGGGATCCCAGCCTTGTTGGTTGGAGACTCTGGGTGATTGCTTTAGGCAAGAAACTATTTTAGACAAAGTTTTTAGCATGTTAAAGTTTTAGATTCTGGGAAACACTTTATACTTTTTTTGGTTTATATGTAAGAATTTGTTCCTATCATTATCCTTATTCACAATCTCTTAAATCTTAGTTTTTGATGACGATCTTACGATTGTTTTCACTATAAATATATCTCAGTGCTGTGATGTTATATTGGAGCTAATCTTCAGTTGACTCAAACAAGCTGGTGTATGCACTGTTCCTTTTGGGACAGCTTACCTTGTAATTTCTGAGAGTGATCAATGGTTAAGGTCTTGACACTGCAGGGGAATGTTTCAAGGCAGCTCAGGGATTGGGGTGCACCTGTTGTTGTCCTGCAAGGCAAAATAAGGGCTGGCAGAGCACAGAGGAGATTGTGTAGGTAGCAAACAGACTGCTGCTGTTGGGAGCTGACACCAAGTGAAACACAAGCAGATTTTCCTTTCGTTGGAGGCAAGGGAGTAAAAAGTCCTGAGTACCCCCAAGGAAATGTCAACGTTTTCATGCAGAGCTGAGCCACTGTTAGCTACTGTGTCCTCCATCAGCTTCTTCTGTTAGTCAATGGCTGTTGATTCCAAATAGCTGTGAATTCACTGACTGTGTCTCAAAATGCCCTGTGTACAGGGTAGGAGGGAGACCAGAAGAGCATGATGGGATAGTAAGTGCCTTGATTCACTTGACTACATCTTCTCTCCCCCTGAGTCCTGTCTTTGCTGAGTCCTGGGCCTTCCACAAGTTCAGGGGTCTGGCTGTTTGTAAAGATATGCTATTCTGTTTTGAACATGTTGCTGTAAAGACTATGAAAGGAAAATGGTGATGTTGCAGGGTGTCTTCTGCTGGTGAATGGAAACTAAGATGTTTCCCCTAGAACAGACTTCTCTTCCAGTGACTTCATTTCTGTTGTACCAAACAATACCATAACAATACAATGAATAGGATGTTAGTGGAATACACAGTATGGAGTCACTACAAGCTGTCCCATTCTAAAGTGAATATAGAGGTGTCTTCAAGACACTACATATTGTACAGTTTTATAAGGGAACTGATCTACAAACTAATTTTTTAATTAAAAGCAAGACTTATTGTCAGTTTCTTAAACAACGTACAGACAGTTGGCTTTATAGCATGGAATAATGTACCCCTTCTTCTAAGTTTAGAGTTTTTCAGTCTGTCCAGCAATTTAATCACATAGCAGGACATCCCTGAGTGTATTTTATAACAATGAAAATGCCTTGAAATTTAACAATTAATCTAGATTTCTTATTGCATGAACATAAAGTTTAATAGTCTGTCCCTTTAAATGCTGTTTTGCTGCATGCTGGTCTTATTAGAACTCATTATTCTACAGTCTTGAATATGCCATTCTGAAATTGTTTGGTTAGCGACTTTTATCTGGTTGGAGATTTGTCCCATTTCTTACAAAAGCAGTGTTTCCAAACTTCTCGGAATGAAGTTGGCTACACCAGCCTCATTTTGGTGGAGCTACTTTCTGTTGAAATCTCCCTTCTCTGTTAATATTCTTTTCTCCTTCCCTTCTTCCATGGTGTGGCATTGCTTATGTCTTTTGACTTAGGGCCTGGTCCTGCAGCCACTACTCAGTGTGTGATTTCGTTGACTTCAAGGATCAAGCCCTTAATTTTAAAGTCCTCATGATAAGGACCCTATTGTCCTTGTATATCTGTATTGCACTGTATATGTCTATTGGACCATGTAAATATTTATTCCATTAACCTGTGGTTCCTAGTTTGGGAGCAGCTTATTCATCCTGGACTCTAAATCAGCATGTTCCTGTCTCCCAAATGGTTCAAAAGTAGAGTCTATCAGAACTGTGATTCTGTCAGCAGACTTATGAGATTCTTACCTCCACAGACTGACAGCCAATGCCAGAAATATCTAGGATTTTCTCTGAGCTGTATCTGCACGCTAACATTGAGCCTACCATCAGGTCCCTGCATTTTCATGAAGTTGATGATGTTGGTTACATCCTGTTTAAGAAAATGTAGCCACTAAACTTTATCTCTTCTCCTCCACCTCCCCTCCTTCCCCCCTTCTGGCAACATCTGAGTCAGGAGATAGTGGGGCTTAATTTCTTCCCTTCCTTCCAGCTAGTCTGTGATAGAATAGGATTAATTGAAAGAACATCTGTCACAAGTGAAAGTCCTAAACGTCCAGTTTGCACTACACACAATATGTACTTTGCTTGTAGTTTTGTGTCTAGGGGGTAACTTTTTCCATGTTCAAGTATGGAGGTTTGTTATGGGTTTATTTTAGCCAACCACTTTAGAGGAGGAATGGAAATTGTGATTGACACTTCCTCCTTGGGCTTACAAGAGAGACCTGGGAATGAAGAACTAGACTTGCAACATCAAAGAAGGAAAGAGATTGTCAAAAAGAAAAGGCAGAACTACATAAAACAAATAGTGTTATGTCATAACTAATAGAGATGTTCAGTTAAATGTATTTTTCTGTCTTGTCTGCCAAGACTTGCTATTGATCTTTGTCTGCTTTCAATTTGTCTGTAGGCAATAACAGCAAAAGTAATCCCATTATTTTTAAGGAGATCTAAGGCATAACACTACTGTCAGATTTTAGGTTTTAAGGAGCAAAACATTGAAAAGAAATATTTTAGGAAGGTGTTAATAATGTCATAATGGTATCTTTATAGTTTATTTTAAGCATGATCTTGACCATTCTTCTACCTTTTAGGTGGAAGGGGAAGAGGCAGAAGTCTCCTCTCCACAGAAAATTTCTCATTTGTAGTCCCTGTCCAGAAGATAAGTTTTTTTGATTAAACTCTTGTGAATTGAGACTTAATCACCACTTCTTGAAAGTTGTTCTTTTCAGACTTCAAGTTTATTTGTTATCAACAGGCCTATAATACTGGTTCCTATTTCTAACAACGCGAACAATAAATGGCAAGAAAACATGCAAACTGGTTCAGCCATACCATGTGCAGACTCTTCCAATGTGATTTTTTTTTTTGATTGCTTAGAGGTGTTTAACAGTTTTTTTCTCTAACACCAAGGATACTGTTATATTCCATGTACAGACTTACAAAAGATTGTATACTTCACCTATGTGACTACTTCTGTCTTTTTTTCCTGCAGCTCTTAAATTAGCTGTTTGTTGGCACTTGACAACTGTAGATAACCAAGACGATGGCTGCCAGCAAGAACAAGAACCAGAGTTCTATGGCCCTGCACAAAGTAATCATGGTTGGCAGTGGAGGCGTGGGCAAATCAGCACTTACACTTCAGTTCATGTATGATGAGGTAAGAAGAGTTAGCACAGATTGCTTATTACGCTCCATGAATAATTGACAGTCATTCTGCTGGATTTTCCTTGTGCAATCAGTAAAATTATTCTAAAGATGTTTCAGTCCACCACATTGTCTCAAGTGTTGTTGGTGCAGTTAAACTGTGAGGTTTTTTGAGACAAGTTACGATTCAAGTAGAAGTAAACACTCTTATCTATTTTTGAGGCAGATGTTGATGAAGAAACAATGCAAAGAAGATTGCAGGCTTCCTTTATGCTAATTCTTTAGTACTAATATACTGGGCTCAAGCCTGCTTTCAGTTTGCAGATGCATGTCTTGTAAATCAGTTTAAGTTCTGTAGCTAATTTTGCAAGGTCTACTCAGGGAGGCATGTGCATCTGTTAAACGGCAGGATCACAACTTCAATGAATAGGTGAAAAATGCAATCTCTAGTTCTGTTTTAAATAGCCTATGCCCCTACTCTAGTCACTCTGACAACTGTTTGTGATAATAAGTCATTACAAAGGAAAAAAACACACTAAAATACACCCAACTAAAAAACCCCAAGAGGTATATCAATGGATGGTCTTTGGAGTCTGTCCTAAAGATCAACAAATGTGGACTATTTTTTACCAAGTTGGCGGAGTAAGTTCCAGAATCAAGCTGCTCTCATAGTAAACATTCTGGTGGCAACTCTTTCTCTTTCTTAATGTGTAGGGACCCCTGCTGGAGCACCTAGACCACAGTTGGTACAAAGATGTGCCTGGAACAGCATGGTTGCCTGGCGCTGAGTATCTGTGTCACTTATGTTTGTGTAGGTCGGAACCAGTACCGTAAACCTCACCTAGAATTCATTAGCTGTTTAGTGTAGATTATAGAGCACTGGTGTATGTACTCAAAACAATATGCATCACTTAACAGTTAAGCTATTGTGTTCTGCACCTGCTTCAGCTTCTGAATTGATTTAAGGTGTATCTCCATGCAGAGGGCAGTTCAGCATTCTGAGGTGACAAAGACAATAACAGTACCAAGTTCTACATCTGAGAGAGAAGGTCAGAACCTCTCTCTCTCATAGTTAAAAAATACTAAAGCCATAAAACTGGCATGAAATAGTTGACAATGATTAAAATAAAAAGGTCTTTCAGGAGTATATATACATCGTACAATGGCCATTAAAAGTGGAGAGGAATGTGCTGAAGCAAATATCCAAAGGGAGGAGTGCCACATCTGAAAAAGTCAGGGGTACTGTAGATTATTATTATGATTTCCCCCTTCTTATGTTCCTCAGTTTGTAGAAGACTATGAACCTACGAAGGCTGACAGTTATAGAAAGAAAGTAGTTCTGGATGGGGATGAATTCCAGATAGACATTCTGGATACAGCGGGACAGGAGGATTATGCAGCTATTCGAGACAACTACTTCCGCAGTGGGGAGGGATTTCTCCTTGTCTTCTCAATAACCGAATACGAATCCTTTACAGCAACAGCAGAGTTAAGGTAAGCAGTGTAGTTGGATGGAGGGGGGAAAAAAGATTCAATTCCGGAAGCTGCTTTTTGATATTTTGCGTGTATTTACATAGATCTGAGTAGGTTTGATAACATGAATATGGAATTGTGTTTGTGTGTTTTGTAGCTCAGTAATGGGTAAAGGATAAAAAGGTAAACTTACTGCTCCTGAGTTGCATAAGCAAACAGAACATTGAGTGTAAGACATCAGAAATCTTGTATCTGAGCTAAACCATTTTCCCTATTTAACTTCAGTTTATATATTAGGACAGTAAGCAACTCTTCACAATTCTTTAATTTTGGTTTGTATAATGCTCATTTTTCCCTGCCAAGTAGCTTGAAAATGTTTTTCTTTTGTCTTCTGTACTAGTTCAGATACTTGTGCAAGTTTTTCACAGCTAGCAGATGGTTCAGTCTCTATTTGCCACTCTCTTCCCCATTTCCCACATACACACACTACAAAGGAGGTATAGCCATCTCTGATTTCAGTTGTATCCCGAAGGCACGCTGCTGAAAGGAAAGCAAAACAGGCCTAGTAGTCCTTGCACATGTCCCAGCGCCCTGTCTGGGATGATTTAGTTGGGGATTGGTCCTGCTTTGAGCAGGGGTTTGGACTAGATGACCTCCTGAGGTCCCTTCCAACCTTGATATTCTATGATTGTAACAGCTTGCATGAAATGCCAGTGGCCTTGTCAAGAGGTTGAGCTGGGTCCCATGCTGGGATAGGCTCGCTCAGAGGCATTGGTGCCTGGCACTTTTTCCACAAACTGTAGTGCTGTAGACTCTGAAGAAGGGGCTTTCCTTGAGGAGTCCATCCAAGGCAAGAGGTCAGCCATAGTATCATTCCCAGGAAGAACTCTTCATGCCCCTTTCAAGCATTTTTTCCATTCTTCCTTCAAACAACACTCCTTCAGACTCTTAACTCTCTCACCCCCATGCATCCATGGTAGCCCTCCTAACTCCTCCCTATCCACTGTCTCTGGTTTTTGGTACTTGTCTCTCCCTCTCCAAACAATCAGCTACTCTTATCCTTCAGTGTTCAAGTCATTGACATCTTATGCATCCCTCTTAGTCTATCTGCTTGTTTTCTTGCCCTGGCTTGCTTGCAAGTCCATTAACAAGCAGTAAATTCAAGCAAGTTCCTCTGATCCATGGACCTGCAAAATATACATAAACATTGACACTCTGTACCTCAAAATGTATTCACCACTGTGATATGATTATGATATGTTTTGAACAATGCATGCCTTGTGAGGTATCATTTAAGAAGTCTTGATCTATTGAACATTAATATCCTGTTGAATTATATGCACTATCATTGTATGTGAAGTTATGAAATATTACTATATATTTGTTACTGAAATATGTGGTAAGTGGGAAACACCCACAGCCAGCCATTCAGTGGCAACAACAGAGCAACTAACGCTGACAAAACAGATTTACATTAAGATTGGCTAGACAGGCATTGATGGCCCATTAAGGAGAATCCAACTCTCCCAGTGGCCCTCTCAGAGACTCCTCAGAGGGCACTTACACAATGGAGGCAGCCTTACCCCTGTGACACAACAAGGATCTTTCTAGCAGCTGGAAGAAAGTATAAAAGAGGGACAGTGACCTCACCACGTGGTCTCTCTCCTCCCCATGTCAACACCTGGAAGATCATTTGGAAGACACAGACTGTGAACTGGGGAGATCGGTCCTAGGCTGAGAAGAGGATTCAGGCTGTGTATTAAGAACTGTAAACTGCCTGGAACATCTTGTGGGTTGAGAAAAACTGTTTGATTCAGATCTTAGGCTATGTTTACACCGACATTTTAAAGTGCAAAATGTCCCTTTTTTGTGCTAAAACTGTGGAAGCCTCTACACTTGTAAATGACTTTTTGCGGTGAAACTCAGAAGTTTTACCGCAAAAGAAAGCCACCTTCACGAGAGGTATGCAGTTCTTTCCGCTGTTCTTTTTGCACTGTTGTGAAAGTGAAGACACCTTCTACCTGTGTAAACACCTTTTGGCCTCCAGAGGATATCCCACAGTTCCAAAAGTAACCACTCCGGCTAGCATCTCCACAACTGTGACGCCAGGTAAATGGCTGTCCGCCCTTCCCCCCGTAAACCCCTGGAAGTTTGAAACTCCCTTTCCCTTTGCTTGTAGATGTGATGGGGAAAGTAGCCAGATAGCAGGGGATTTAAAAAAAAAAATGCCGCAAAAGAAACAGGGAAGTAATGGGGCTGCTGGGACATGAAGTAGTGCATCACGGGGCACTGAGCAGGGACCCAGAATGCCTTCTGCTCACCCTTCCCACAAGACCTGTCGAGAGAGCTGCACTGTGGGGTAGCTGCCCTGCAGCACTGCTCTCATCGGTGATGGAAGTGCTGCTATTGTAAACACTGTCTCTGACGCCTGAGGAATTGAGTACCCAAACCACCACTTTTCTTTCACCGGTTCCCTATCACCGGTGAAACTTACAGTGCAAAAACTCTGCAGGTATAGACATACCCTTACTCAGTCTGATAAATTTAGGATTTAGAATGCAATTTTATTTTTATTTCTTATGTAACCAATTTTGACCTCTGTGCCTAACACTTATTATCACTTAAAATCAATCTGTAGTTAATACACTTATTTTAATCTTTTATCCTTACCGGTGAGTTTGTCTAAGCTTCTTGTCTAAACTGCTCAGATTACAAAGGCTGGGTGCATGTTCACTATTCTTTGATGAAGTGGTGAACTAATTAATGAGCTTGTATTGCTCAAGAGAACATCTTGAGGAGTGCAAGATGGTACATTACTTGAGTGCAAGAACATAGAATGGCCATACTGGGTCAAACCAAAGATCCATCTAGCCCAGTATCCTGTCTTCCGACAGTGGCCAATGCCACGTGCCCCAGAGGGAATGAACAGAACAGGTAATCATCAAGTGATCCATTGCCTGTTGCCCACTCCCAGCTTCTGACAAACAGATTGGAGGGAATTGGCTAGAATCTTCCTGTATATTATTCATGAGTGGCTTAGAGAGCATTCATGCAACTCAGCTGGGTGTGTGTAGGCCCTCTTTCTACTACATCTGCCTATCCTATTAACAGTCTACAGATACTCATCTTTGACCGTTTATGTGCCACAGTAATTACACAGTTAAGCTTCATTCTGACACTTCATTTTACTCTGAAAATTCTCACTGTCTTGATCTAAAGTCCTGTTAATAGGTCATTTTGTTTCAACTAGTGTCCATCATCCCTGAATCACTCATGGTCCAAGCATCCAGCCAAAGTAATCACTCCACCCCTGGAGTGCTGAGTTGAGAAGAGGGCACCCAGACCATACCATAGATCTGTGAACTTTCTTGTGTTCCCACCCTGGGGTGTGCTGTGCAGGCCCAGAAGATCACATCAAAGAGGAGGCCATGATTATTGAACATGTCCATGGACAGTCCAGTTCAGCTGTTATCAACAGTATTAATGACAATACAGTAGGATTTACCCTTACAGCCTGACAGTTGTGTGCATGAGCCTGAAGAAGAGGTCTGGCAGAGAAAGATACCAGCTATATTATAATCTTGGCAATAATTAGTTTCACGAGAGTACTTGAAGACTTGGAGAGCCTTCTCTCTTGGGTGGATAAGGGAAAGGTAGACTTTTGGCCCTAGTATCCTGGAATATTTTCAGGCTGGGCTAACTGTACCAACTAAACCAAAGTCACAGAATTCAGAGAAAAGGTAAATTCAATACCTGATCGGATACTGAGGTTTTTGAAAGCCATGGAGATCTGAGCCCATGAGGGCAACACCATCTTCTGCCCTTGTTCCTGCTTGGGACTTCGATCTTGGTGTTCAGTACTCTTGCACCCCTTCCAGCTGAGCCTAGGAGAGGGATTATGTTCCATTATTATTATTACAGAATTTGTTTTTCATCACAAAATGATTGGCCAGAAGGCTTGAAGAGCGAAAGGTGCTCTTAGAGAGAGAGCTTTATATGATTTTCCATAAGGATGAAGTTTGTTCTTAAGAACCTTTCCAGATGTCACTCCAAGGATGATATCTGTTTTCCATTGTAGAATGGAAAGTTGCCCTGCCCACTTTCTGTCCAGTCCCCAGAAACTGCAAAGGAGCATAGATCTAGTTGCTTGGATGCCTACATGGCACTAGGAGCTCACCTAAAAAGAGTGGCAAAACTTGGCTTTTAGAGACTGTTCCTCATATGCTAAGGACCAAGAAAAAGCCAAGCAGATTCCAAAATGGGATAAAGAATTGATTTGGGGCCGAAGAAGCTCTTGAGAAATGGAAAGCATGTTTGACCCAGTGGATTCATTGGGGGTTGGGTTCGGGTGGAAAGAAGGAATGGGAATATTTGGATCTAAGTTGTTGGCTAATGTTCATGAACAAAAGTGGTCCACCAAGTCGTCTTCTCAACGAGCAGATGAACGACTAAGATGGGCGATCTCTATCTGAAACACAAGCATCTGGCCTGGTGTAGATCATCTGAGAGTGGCTGCAAATCCCAAAATGTTCCTATTTAACATAGATAATTTTGTCTTGTGTAGCAACATACTGTATGGCAAAATCTTTTAGTCTTTGCATAAGAAACACTGATGCCAGCATTGCTTTAAGGTGTGTGGACCCGTTATTTCTTCTGAGGCTTGCAGAAGTTGGAGTGTCACTTAAATATTCCTAACTGAGAAGGAAAACAAAAAGTCTGTTTTCTAGTTTGGAGCTAGTAATTTACGCTTCTTGGTCTGAAACCTTGACAGTGCTCCTTGGTAAATTTTTGCTAGAGAATTGGTCAGTTCATTTTTTCTTGTTGGTAAAAATGATCTTTTAAATGCTTCAGCTGTTAGTATTTTTGCTTCGCCTTTAAAATGCCTGTGGTATATTTTGATATTGATCTGACCTTTGTCTTCCATTGGAACATCACCTCCAGAGTTTCTCTCTCTTTTATTGAACATCTTCAATTTATAGTCTTAACACCAGATATTTTGAAATGACAAAAGCTTTGATTGC